GGAAAGAGGAGAGGCCACAGGTCAGCAGAATTCCAGCTGCAAACTGGGAAGGGAAGCCTGGAATGCCACCAGTGTGATGCAAACACTAAGGCAGAGCCAACAGTCACAGCATCACTTTAAGCCGAGCACATCTGGTCACTGAATCAATTTTAGCTTAGAATCATTAAATATATGATTGTTTTATCTGTATTTTTACACTTTTATTATCACTCTCCTACCCAAAAGTTTTATTAAAGGGAACTATTTCAGAGTGGCTGCACCAGGAAAACAACAAAGCAGCTGCACCAGTGCTGAACTCTGAGCAGGGCTGAGAAAATACGAGTGAAAGGCAAGAAGATTTAGATCAGAAAAATGCAATTCCACTAAAATGCACATTAAAAAAAAAGTTGAGGAACCTTTCAGCCCTGAGAATAGCATTCTGGCAATGCCAGTAGTCACAAGGTGAGACACCTATACCTACCTGAGGCTGACACAGTTATCATCACCACTCAGCTGAGTCATAGGAGGAAATTCCAACAGGATAAATCACTCACACCCCTCAGGAACCTTCACCCAAGAGCTTGTGTGACCAGGCTTAGTCTGCAAGCAGCTACAGATGACTAACATGCCATCCTCAGCCCATTTTCCAAGCATAATCCCACCAGGAGACTGATATCAAAGCCTTGGGTCCAGAGATTCCTCCTGATGGACAGCACTGATCTCTGGGACAGGACCCAGAGAATGGCTGGAGCTGTGTCAGGGGAGGGTTAGGTTGGATATTAGGCAAAGGTTCTTCCCCCAGAGGTGTTTGGGCACTGAACAACTCCCAGGGCAGCGGTCACAGCCCCAAGCCTGACAGAGCTCAAGGAGTGTTTGACCAATGCTCCCATTTGGATTGTTGGGGTGTCCTGGGCAGGGCAAGAGTTGGACTGATGATCCTGGTGGGTCATTTCCATCTCAGGATATTCTGTGATTACTACAGGCCACAGAGCTCCCACTCCAAGTGCTGAGCCAGCACCTTCACCCCTCTACCTGTGCCCTCAGGAAAAGGAATGCAGGGAAAACCCAGGAGAGCAGTGAGTTAACTGATAGCAAACAGATGGAAATCCTGGGCAGGGCAAGAGTTGGACTGATGATCCTGGTGGGTCATTTCCATCTCAGGATATTCTGTGATTACTACAGGCCACAGAGCTCCCACTCCAAGTGCTGAGCCAGCACCTTCACCCCTCTACCTGTGCCCTCAGGAAAAGGAATGCAGGGAAAACCCAGGAGAGCAGTGAGTTAACTGATAGCAAACAGATGGAAAGGAACAAAGGGTCATTTC